TATGTGTTATATGATATACTAATTAAACTACATTCTTCCACATCTCTTCCTTTAACGTACTATATGAATATTTTTAGTCACATTTTTTTAATTTGACTTTCGACATTTCAATGCCAAAATTAGAACTCACGAAGATCAACAAAGAATCAGAAAATTATAATCGGCAAAGAAATTGCACTATTTAAAATTTCAAAAATTGCCATTCCGAGAATTTGGGATTTTGAATCACGAAATTCAGAAGTTTTAAAAATTGACACAGTATCAGGAGAACATGAACGGGCAGCGGGGGGGGGGGGGGGTTACACTATCTGAAAAATTCTAGGAATTTTTCGAACAATTGTAAGTTCTAAAGTTTGATATTGAAAATTCAAAGATTCAAAAGACAGGCTAAAAATTACCAATTGGTAAGCTTATAAACGCTTTTACCGGCTGTAAATATTCTGCAAATCCCAAAAGTTTAAACTTAAAAGTTAACAAATCATTGAAGGAGTGAAATCGAAAAGAAGCAGAAACCATAAAATGAAAACGGATGTGATTTTTAAGAATTTTTATATTGTATGACTGATAATAAATACAAGGTTTGAGGTTAAGTTCTAGTTTGAACTTGTTCATCTGCACGGTTAGAGAGTTTGTAAAGAAACGTATGGTAAGTGCAAATAGCTAGTTGACTAATGAAAAACGTCAAGTTCTCGTCTTTTACTATAATTTCATTAAAATTCTTGCAAACAGACTTCAACAAATAAAAATGAAACATACATTGTTCAATCGTCCTTTCCTACAAGTAAGTTTTTACTGTCGGAGATTACGTTATTGTACTTCTACCGCAACTGCAACGGAATGCAACAATAAAAGACTAACAGGTATTTTCTGTATTATCTTACTTTTTTATAGATTTGTATACGTTAAAGCCTGCAAGTAAGCAAATCAATTACAAATTAATAAGAATAAAGGAGATAATATAGTCTGCATTATTATTCAAAAATTTATGTTACAACACAGATTTTCCTGCAACTTTTAAGCCAAAGGATGTAGCAAAAGGCTGGTATGACGTCTGGCAATGTAACAAGTACTTTGCCTCATCTAGGATAACAAAGAGAACGAGCAACAATGCACAAGATGAAAAGGAAGCCAGAGAAACTTTTAGTATGATTTTACCACCACCTAATATTACAGGAATATTACATCTGGGTCATGCACTTACCGTTACAATCCAAGATGTTCTGGCGAGATGGTTAGTAAAAATATATATGTAATATAACGTATGATACGTCTAGAATATTGTACAATAACATAACGTACGTTATAACGTTATTAGACATTACATGTTATGGAATTTGTATTGCGCTATTATTTACTTATTATAGGTAAATTTACCATTATATTATAGATTTTTTCTCTACTGCTCACGCACATACACACAGGCACAGAATGAAGGGTCATCCAGTGTTGTGGATACCGGGTCTGGACCATGCAGGAATTGCAACACAGGCGATAGTGGAACGTACATTGCGGAATACGCGCAATGTTACGCGACAAGACGTGGGCCGTGCCGAGTTCACGCAATTAATCTGGCAGTGGAAGGCGGAAAAAGCCGCGGTTATTAAGGAGCAGTTGAAAGCCCTTGGCGCTACGCTCGATTGGGACAGAGAATACTTCACCATCGATGAAGTAATATTTTTCTGTTGCCACTAGTACCAATATTCATTGTTACAATTATATTTGTTGTTTTACATTTATTTGTTACAGTATTATTGAATTTTCATTTATGCCTTTGCAGAGTCATAGTGCGGCAGTGACAGAAACGTTCGTACGGCTAAACGAGAGAAATCTGTTATACAGAGCCAGAGACCTTGTTAATTGGTCGCCAGCTCTGCGCAGCACAATCTCAGAAATCGAAGTCGAGGACTTTGTGGTGAACGGTAAGACGCGACTCCAGTTACCCGGCTATAATACCAAGATCACTTTCGGCCAGTTAATCAAGCTAGCATATCCAATCAAAGATTCGAGTAAGTATAAAAATTTATACCAACTAAAAGTGTATGTAAAGAGTTAAAAATAATCTATGTTTTCTAAAGGCCTGCATTTTGTTACTTTAATTTTCTAGCAGATATGTAAATATTATATTTCGGTTTCGCAGAGGAGGAACTGATAGTTGCCACAACTAGGCCTGAGACCATTTTTGGAGATGTGGCGATTGCTGTGCATCCAAACGACGATAGATATTCGAGATACATTGGTCAGCACGTTTTACACCCCATAAGAGAGACTTGTATACCCATCATAGCCGACTCTTCGGTCAAGAGAGAATTTGGCACCGGTAAAAATTTATCTAGAATACATTGATAAATTTAATATGTATTTAATACAGAAAAATTAGAAGAATGCAAACTTCTAGAAATTATTCTAGATAAAAACTTTTATTTATGTTACTAGATTAATTCCACTCACGTATTTATATTTTACTCAACTGATCGCCATTTATTTTATTTATTATTGGTGAGTATTTTGTTTTACAGGTGCAGTGAAAATTACACCGGCGCACGATCGCTTAGATTACAGCATCGCCATAAAACATGACTTGCCACTTATTAGTGTTATTGGTGAAGATGGCAACATGACGGATGCGTGCAAGGAATTCAAGGTATGACTCCGTACACAAGACTCATTTATTTCTTACCAGATTAATAATAAATTATCTCAGGGAGTCCCGAGATTCATTACACGGATAAAACTAATGAATCAACTATCGGCACGAGGTATGGTGAGAGGTGTGGAAGATAATCACCGAATGATACTGCCACTATGTTCGCGTACACATGATGTGATTGAGTACTTGCCAAAGGAACAGTGGTTCTTGCGCTGTGAGACAATGGCTAAGCAGGCCTGTGAAGCTGTTGCGAATGGTAAACTCAAAATCGATCCAAGCGATGACGACATTCACGAACAAATGTGGTACAAGTGGCTCGGAAATCCTAGGTAAAATTATCGTAAAATTATTAAATAAATACATAAACATAAGAATGAAGTAAATAAATAGATAAACATACATTCAAGCGTGTATATAAGTAATGGAATGAATAAAGAGATGCAGTATTTAATGTATAATATAACAAGTTAAATTTTTCTTCAGGGACTGGTGCGTGTCGAGGCAGTTATGGTGGGGTCATCGCATACCAGCGTATTCTGTAATTCATGCTGATGGTAAAGACGAGGATGGCGATAGTGATATTTTTTCAACCAGTAGCAACAGTACCACTTCGTGGATAATCGCACGATCCGAAGAAGAAGCGTATTCTCTCGCACGAGAGAAATACGGAGATACAGTGAGTTTACGTCAGGATCCAGATGTCCTAGATACATGGTTTTCCTCGTCAATTGTGCCATTCGCTACGCTTGGCTGGCCGAAAAATGTTAGTCTTTATTCTTCTCTCTGTATATGTATATATTTTATTAGATACAACTTTATAAATATTTTCTTATGTATATCGCTAAAATTTATAGACGGAGGATATGGCAAGACACTATCCGCTAACACTGATGGAAACAGGCCATGATATTCTCGTGTTTTGGGTAGCGAGGATGGTGATGCTAAGTCTGGAATTGACACAGCGTTTGCCTTTTAAAGTATAATTAGACACAAATTATTTATATCTATTTTTGAAAGTATACATATAATATTGTTAAGAGACTATACTTTAGTCTTAAGAAATATCTTTGTGTGCTTAAATTAATAATACAATTGATAATTATAAATTATGCAATTATGTATATAGCAAGTTCTACTTCATGGTGTCTTGTGTGACGGCAACGGCAAGAAAATGTCTAAGAGCTCTGGCAATGTTATCTCGCCTGAAAACATTATCAATGGTTGTACCTTTGAGGTAAATATTTTTCGAAACTATAGCAATTATTTTATTTGTTTTGATACTCTTATAATATAAAAATTCGCAGAATCTCTGTGAATAATAAAAATTAATTAAATTCTAACAAACTAAGATTATTTTTTAAAATTAATACGTTATAATTTTGTTATTTTTAAATTGACTGGAATACATAATTATAAATAATGCAGGAATTGAACGAGCAAGCAAGACGCAGTCACACGGCTGGTATTCTTAGCGCCGAAGAATTACAGCGAACATTACGTGTTAATTCAAAAACGTACTCGGCGGGAATACCAGATTGCGGTGTCGATGCCTTGAGACTATCATTATGTGCACGTAATATTAAGAGTAAGCAACTTGAAAATCTTAAGAAAGAGAGAAAAAGATTTAAGAGAATTTTAAGTTTTAGATATTAAAAAAAATTTAAGAATAGAAAAGTAATGATCAAGTTTGAGTACTGAGTAATGAGTTGCATTATTTTTATTATACTACTACATATTTAGTCTCCTCTCCTATAGGTCACACCATCAGTTTTGATGTGGATGATTGTCGAACAAGCAAGTACTTTTGCAACAAGATCTGGCAGGCAAGCAAATACGTCTTGCTGATGACAAAGGAAGATGAACAACACGAAAATAATGGAAAGGAGAATGATCTCGATCGATGGATTCTGAGTCGATTATCGTGGATGGTGGAAATGGTGAATGATGCGTTTGCCGAGCGAAATTTTCATAAAGCGATCGCTGCGATTCGCCAATTTTTGCACTATGAATTTTGCGATTTCTATGTGGTATGATATAAATGCATAATATTACTTGATATAATTAACAATACCATTTAAGGTTTTTCTAAATTGTTTAAGACTATTAAGATTTTGTTTACCACAAAATAATAATGCGGTTTACATGTATAATTAATTTACTCTATTTACTCAATAAGTAACTCTTTATTTTAGTGAAAAAAAAATATTTTTTTCTTCCTTTAAATATAGGAGGGTACAAAATTTGGGTTCAAAGATGGTAATTCCGCTGGGCATTCCAACACTCTTGCAAAATGTTTGGAAGTGTCATTACGCATCCTCTCACCTGTCACACCTTACTTATCGGACGATTTATATCTGAGACTTGCCAAGAAGGGGCTTCCAGGATTTCTGTCAGTCGCCTCGTTGCTTGAGACTTCCTATCCGATGCCATGCGAGGTATATACGAAGCAAATAATCTTCATATTATTACTCTTTTTGATATAACTTGCTCTCTTTTGTTTCATTCTAAATACTATTACACAATTAGATAATTTACTTTTATTCATTTTCCATTCTAACTTGTTCTTTTAATAGTTCGAGCATCTGAGAAATGTTGAGTTGGAGGAAAGGATGTGTGAACTCATAGATGTGATAAATGCGATTAGAAGCTGCATGGCGAATGTGAGCAAGAAGTCTAATCCAGAAGGTAAGTGATGATTAACGAGGTAGAGATGCTAATTATACATAATTTAAATATATACAGAATAAATTTTAATAAATTACTCGTAATTGCACAGTTAATATTTTGGTTGGAAATATGCGCGACTATCATTTTTATCTGGAGAATGTGAACCTGATCAAAGGAGTAAGCCGAGTCTGGAACGTCCGTGTAACGGAATCGGCGAGTGATGATAATTTTAATAGGATGATGACAACGACGAATGACAATAATTTCGACGGTGGCAGTATTTGTACCATCCAATACATGCATACAAACAATTGCTCGTTACTTATTACAGTCATGGTAAATGAAAAGCACACGGTGCTCAATTCTAATATAAATTAAATTTTATCCTCCTACCATTTATATTATTAATTATAACGTAATTATCTTTTAAATACAAAGGGTTTGTGATGCATGTAATTTATAGGATACATCGGTATTGGAACAAGTTAAGAAGAATATTGCGAAGAAGAATAACTCAGGAGTGCACTAAGAAGAAGAAAGCCAAATAGTACGTGCAACATTATAATTTCCATTTACTCATGTCCCTCTCTGTAAATAATGTAATTATTATATGTATAAATAAAAAAAGAACTATTCATACACTTCGGATTTAGTTCCTTCCAGTCAAATATATAAAAGTTTACACAACATACTTGCGAGAACAATAGTTAATTACACGTTCAATCCAATTAAGTCCAATGTAGTTTAATTAAAATTTTAGGTTGTTCTTTTAAATTGTGTTTAAATGTTGAAGTGTACCAAGTTAACAGCACACACGAATCTAATTGATTTCTATTTTCTTTCTTTTACGTGTCACGATCAATTATGATTTAAAATTTAAATATAGAAGCGGCATAAGTTATAATTGGATGTTGCGAATGTCAATATCTATAAATATAAAATATATTGACCGTGCGTTCTGATTATATTTTATATACATATTTTAAAAAGAAAGGAATTAAGCTTTGATAGATTTAATTATAAGTGGTCACATGCGCTGCCGGTTAAGTAGGGAATCTATAATTCTATACTCATGACATCTATGACAGTATTTATGTAGTTATTACTCCAGAAAATTAGGTTAGATCGTCAACACTGACGTTCATACACAACTGGAGGACCGAATTGATAATTAACAAATTTATAATACAAATCATTGAAGAATTATTATGGAAGCATTGAACGAGCATTTAGAAACTTTGGCCGGCCATGTTTTCGACAACGACAAGCTGGTAATTCTATCGCGATCATTTATATATAATATATTCTGCATTGTGTGTTTTATGTGCATATATTTAATTTTAGTTATTTTGTGTCATATCTAACGCAATATATTTTTAGGTAACCTACAAATGGCTGAGCAAAGAACTACGTGTCCACGTTAACATAGCAAAACAGATCTTGTGGGAGTTCCATCAAAAATATCATAAAAGCAATAACATTGAATGCACATATTTGCTAATAGGTCTTCTAAAGGACAAAGGAATACGTGTGGAGGTTGTCAGAGAGTCCGATGTATCTAAGGCTAAAGAAAAGTTCAGTAAAATTATGTCGGAGCATGTCTACAGTGTCCATAAACCGCTTGCGGATTTGGAACTGCTTGCCACTTCTGGTTCCGGCGATATAAATTACAGCGCAATAAAGTGCGATGCTTGCAAAGAGCGAAGTGATGAAGAAATGCAACTATTACGATGGGGCACGGTTGCCAAGAAGGTTGCAATGGAAAATACGACAAGTTCAAAGTCTACAAATTCAATAAATCCACCAAAAACAGAAAAGAATCCAACGACAGCAATGAAAAGTGGATTTAATAATCTGTTTAATAAGGCTGGAAAATCAAAGAGCCCTGAAAAATTGAAATCGTCCTTCCAGGAACGTGATGGAAACTCAATAAAGAAAGATAACGTTTTGAAGAAGAAAAATTCAGTGAAGAATAAAGATTCAACGGAGACAGATCAAGCTTTAATGGAGGAAACTGAAGAATTAAAAACTGGAAAAGACACTGTAGAGAAGGATACAAATTTTGCCCAGAAAGATAAAGATTCTGCAGAAAAGATAAAAAATTCAACTGGAAAAACTAAAAACTCCATGGCCAATTCTACTACTAAAAAAGTATCTTCACAAAATAATGCTGGGAAAAAAGGAAATTTGAATAACTTTTTTGGAAAGTCGACATCTTCAAAACATGTAGAAGTAACGCCATCAGAAGAGAAAAATGATAATGTTAAAGAGGAATTTACCGAAAGATCAAGTAAAGAAAAAGAAGCGAGTAAAGAAAAGAAGAATTTGCATGGGAAAAAGCGCAACAGAAGTAAAGAGACGGATAGAAATGCTAAGAAACGGAAGAGAGTTGTCGTACAGAATGACTCCAGTGATTCGGAGATACAAAGTGACATAGAGATGGAAGAATCATTTCCCGAAATGGAGCCGGAAACTCTTGCGAAACCAAAGAGTCCTTCTCCACCAAGAGAGAAACATGAAAATGGGAAAAGAAAAGTGTTGAAGTTAGTTAGTAAAACTTATAAAGAAGGCGAATACTTTGTAACAAAGAAGGAACATGTTTATGTAAGTTGTTCGGAAGATGAAGAAGAAAAAAAAGAAGAGATTAAAAGGAAAGAGAAGAAAGAGGAGGCCAAGATAGAAAAAGTAAAGAAGAAGCAATCTACCTTAATGGATTTCTTCAAGAGGTCTTAGAATTGTTCCTCAAAATCGCCTAAATAGTTCTAAATATTCATTTGTTTCATAAATAATTTGAATGTACATTAATAAATAATTATATATTTGTAATGACTGAATTTAATAGTTGTGACTTTGAGAGTGCTGTTTATATACATATATGAATGCTGATCAAACATTTGTTAATTTATTGCTTGGGAATTAAGGTCATTATTGTCACTATTGTCAAATATAAAAATATTGCTTGAAATTAATAATTGTTTTCAAGTATTATTTAAAATGAAATTTTTTTGTATAAAAAAATGACGTATTTTTTATTACTTTTGGAATATATTTGAAAAATGAGATATTAAGCAGATTAAAGAAGATAAAAATAAATAATTGAATAAAAATTATTACTGTGTATAATTTGATTTTCTATACAGCATATCCCAGAATAATCAAGAAATTCGATAATTGATTAAATTAAATCTATCGCATAATTCTCGCAAGTAAGATGAGTAATATGTAACGGATCACATGGTTGACGCACTTATCAGATATGCTATCAGGATTGGCTATAGTAGGTGTGTATCTACTGTGACTAAATATGTAGTAATCGCCTGCGCATAAAATCAGGGCGGACATCATGATGTTTAACATTATTGCATTGTTGCTTTTATTTCTGTGCAACCACTGTTGGTGTGATATATGTATAACCTGTGCATGCTCTATCTCAAGTAAGTCCAAGAGAAGTTAACACTTATAATGGATTAAAAAATAATAAGTATATAACTTTTGATATTGTATTACCATCGTATTACTATTACTAATTATAAATATTAGTTATATTGTTTCTCAAGAAAAGTTTGTAAGAGAAAATTTAATAAACTAATAAATAATAATGAAATCAATAAATGTGGTAATAATTGTTGTCATTTTCTTGTTCAACAATTGTTTCATATTCTTGTTGTTATGGTTGTTATTATAATTAGTAATATCACATGATTTGTAACAGGAGATGTGATTAGTAAAGTCATAAATGTCAATTTATTATCGTGGATTAAAAAATAATAAGTATATGACTTTTGCTATTGTATTACTATTACTAATTATAAATACAATGTCAATTTATTAGTAATATAAATCATAAATGTCAATTTACATATCGTTGTTCTTGCAGATACAGGACCAATTATTGATTGTCATGACAGACACTTGGGAACTAACGAAGTTCTTACCTTCGATCTTTTCACCTTCGATAAGCATAGACCACTAAACAAACTTATTCTTTCAAAAAACAATATAGTGCTTCTACCTCTAAATGAATTAAAACATCTGAAACACTTGAAAAAATTGGATTTGTCTCAAAATAAACTGGATAATATACATGCGGACATCTTCAAGACCTTAAACGAGCTTGAAGATTTAGATTATTCTAGCAATTCACTCTGGGGCTTCGATGTTTCCACTCTAAATACAGCTTCTTTCCTCTCCAAACTTAATCTGAGTCATAATCACATCAACAATTTGGAGAAAAACTCTGGAAATGCAACAACAAAATTGAAAATCCTTGATGTGTCTCGCAACAGTCTCATTGATTTGGTAATACGATCATTTTAACAGTGAAGATTTTTACTGAATTTAGTAATGTATAATAAGTGTTATAATAATAATTATAATATATTAACATTATGCCTATTAAATTCATTTATTTTATAGAATTTCCTTGATGGTACACCGGCGTTGGAATATTTAAATCTCTCCTTCAATAAATTTACCACTCTCTCGGCTAATCCTTTAGTTAATATGCAGCATCTGAAGATTCTTCGCGTTAACAATAATCAACTTCACTCTCTAAATTTTCAAAATCTTCCATCGTCACTGTTGGAACTACACACGGAGAACAATCTTATTAATACCATGTCATTCCAAAGATCATCGATTCATACCTTAAACATTCAAAACAATAATATTTCTAACATACATAACAATTTAACATTACTAGAAGAATTAAAAAATTTAAATATTAGTAGAAATTTTTTATCAGATTTTCCGGAAATTTTTCTGAAAAGTTTGGAAATGCTAGATGTTTCCTTCAATGATTTAACAATAATACCTGAAAGCATTTCTGTGAAAAATTTTCCGAATTTAAGAGTTTTTAAAGCCAATGGAAATCGTCTGAAAGACATAAGAATTTGGTCTGAATTGAATTTGGAATTATTTGAAGTAAGATTTATAGAGACGATTGAGAAGATTGACAAAGAATCATTTCTAATGTTAAAGGAGAGAAAAAATGGTTGTATTAATGTAACTATTTCGAGTAATACAAAATTGAGTATGATTCAAGAAAATGTTTTTCAACATATGAACATATGCTCTGTAAGTATTTTATATCGTTTTATGTAAAAGATATGTTTATTATATAATCTTTTTCCATTTTTCAGCTAGATTTGAGCAACAATCATTTCATTCACTTGCCATCAGAGCTATTTAATATAAAAGCTTACAATAAAAATGTTTCAAATTTAAGCTATCTCATTAATCTGCAAGGAAATCCATTTATTTGCAATTGCTCATTGCAATGGATGTTGAACGAATTAGTCCCAAAACTTTACGTTAGAAAACTCAGCCTTTTAGAAGATTTGAGGTAATTATATAATATTGTCAAATCGTTTAAAACTTATCTGCAATAAAAACTAGGGATTTCTTTCTCTTATTTCTTTCTCGATATTTTAAGTTAGAATTCTTAAGTTAACAATTGATTTAATTTACTATTTATTTGTGAAAATTACATACAAATTATTATCGTTATATCTTAAATTTCAAAGTAATCTCTCTTAATTTTTATATTGCACCATATCATTCATAAAAGAATATATCTTAATTTTCACAATTTATTGATTAGATGTGCTGGCCCACCGCCATTAGCCAACAAAAGAATGATCCATTGGTATAAATGGAAGGGAGAAGTCTTTTGCAATGAGTCTTCACATTTTTCGGAGAGAATAACCGTTAACGTTGCAAGTGTTTCTAGTAAACAGGTCGTGACATTCAGTACTGGTCCTGGAATGATTGCTGTTTTGGCCACGGCGATCGCTCTGCTTGCAATTCTAATGATAATCGGCATTCTATTGACTCGAAGAATGATGACGAAGAGAAGACGAATCAATCGTAGACTTTAAATTTCTTTATTCTTATAAAAACATGAGGACTGTTTTATTGGGAAAAAATATAAAAGATATTTTTTATTTTCTTAGCACAACTTACATAATATGCAATTGATGCAAGTTCTTGCAAAAATTGCATAAATTAGCTGTTATAATTTATAATCCTTTTTTAAATTTTTTACTATAGTACTTATTGTGTAACAGGAACGGTCTGCAATCATATATAATATACAATACAATTTATATAAAGAAACATGTCAAAAATCTCATCTTTGTGGATACATGCATACTTTAGTAGTTACAAAATAAACTTACTTTAATAAAGTTGTCTAATATTCACATACAATACTCTCTTCACATACCTTTAAATCGTATTTTTAAGAACTTTTACCTTTTGCTATTCTTAATTCACACTTAGTTCCCGTACGTTATAGAATTTCTTGAGATACTTAATTATATCTATTTTCCATTGATTAATGAACTTTATTTCGATTACTGATTATTTTATTTAACTAATCATAATTAAATCAAATTAATCTAAGCCAATTAAAAGAAATTAGTTAAATCATTTGAATGAATTGACTTACAATAATTTGAGATAATTATTTTATTTAATTATGATTCGATTTGGACGTAACAATAGTTATTAATCACTTTTGAATCAATAAGATCGACTTTTCCGTTTTTGCAACGCGCGAAGATAATCTCTACGAAAAGTAGAAAAAGTTCAATTTGATAAGGTCAAGTCTTTTACATCTGTAACACCTTTACGTTTATGATATTAATAAACGACAATAGATGTGACAATAGAAGCGTTTTATTACTAAACATTATCGATTTGCCAATGACTAGACGTTACCCTTGGATGTGGATTTTCCCTGAGCTCAGTCAGATAGTTGTTAATATTTTGATAATAACTCGGCTGACACCAGGTTTCGTTATGTGTGCCATCGACAATTGGAAGTATACGCTTGTATATGCTTCGGCAATTCTTGTAAAGGTCTTGCATCATACGGGGTGGTACCAATGTGTCCGCCAGACCGGAAATGAACAGAGTGGGTACTGTGACTGAGCGAACTTTCAGAATAGACAAATACTGCAACAAAAGTTAGGTGTGGATATAAAAAGTACGGAAATGTGAGGAATCATACAAGAAATATAAAATCATATAAAAATGCGAATAAATATGAGAATATAGAAGACAGATTATATAAATATAATGAATATATAAATTTTAAGAAAAATAATCATTTATAAAGATCTGCTAAACATGCTATTTTTTTTAATATAGAAAATGTTATTCTTTTTATAGAAATTTAATTTATAAAATAGGAGAACCAAAAGAATCTTATATATAAAACGAATGAAAGAATTCTAAATCTTCCCTGTTCTGCTTACCTTGTTCTTGTATACAAAAAGTGGCAAATACTGTAAAAATTTAGATCCTACAAATAAGGCGGCCATATCTGGGATACTGGTGAAGGTGTTTTCAAGTATAAGGCACCAAATTCTCTGTGAATTTTCCTCCTTCGTGGCTAAATCAATGGCTATTGCTCCACCTATATCAAAATTACAATTTAATCAAATTGAACTATTACAAGTACTGGTAATTAGTAAAACCTAAATTTAAAACACTAATAAGCATTCCAAGTAATCAAATTAGATTCCTTACCCAGTGATCTACCAAATACTATGATCTCATTGGTATTAATATCTGTTCTACTAAACAGATAATCTATCCCTGCTCGAGCATCCATATAAAGACCCTCCTCCGAAGGAGTGCCCTGCGACAGGCCATACCCTCGGTATTCTAACATTAGAATGTTGCACTGAATAGTATGATAGAGCCCTACTATATTTTGCAACCTGGAGGAAACATAAGTCTCATGTATCACGATACAACTTGTTACTATAATGCTAAATTAATACGTGGTAAAATAATGAATACCGATGGCCCATGTTGCCAGCATTGCCATGGAGAAACAGCAACGTAGGCACCTTCCTCATTCTATCTTCTGGCTGAGAAACGAAAAACATGTGCAGCATTGTGCCATCTCCAGCTCTGGTATATATACTTTGATAAGGTAAACTAAATATTGAAGGAGCCGGTACGTAAACTCTCGAATGGGTTGGGAGTTCTGGATGATAAAGAAGTTGATCTTCTCTGTGATAGAGTATTCCTGTAATGAGAAAAAATTCAGTCTTACATCTTTAACTTAATATAACACTTTGAACTCAATAATAAAAATTACAAGCTTTACTAAAAAGTAAAGAGAATATGCGTGTACAAACCAGTTGTGGCGAAACACAGCAAGAAGAAAGCCAAAACTCCACCGTACAGCCAATATAAAAAGAAGCACACGAGGATATATGCTCCACTGAAAGCCCAACACTTCATGGCTACATTCCCCAGAAGTCTAATTGGTCTGCTGCGAGCTAAACGTATTCTGAAGGACATTATTTATACGTTTTGTATAATTTACAGATGCTTTGCGTTATCTGGATAATCCAATAGTTTTCAATAAACAAACAGCTTTTGATTTGAAAACAGCCATGGTGATCCATTAATCACTGCAACTTGTCACATCTTCCCCCTGGAATATGTACAGAAAATTGATAAAGGTTTCCATAACGCTACATTGTGAAAAGAAATTATTTTAGGTCTATTCGTTTACTTCACTTCTCAACTTTAATTTATTGCAATGTGGTATCGGTTTGTTGTCAAATAAATAATATGAAAATTTATACGTTTTAATTTATTGCCTCGAATGAAATTGTATCAATTTTATTTCAAGGTATATAAAAAATGGTAAATAGAATTTTTTTCAATTGATCACAAACTTTTCACTTTGTTCATAGATTACATATAAAGAAATGAAATCGAAACGGAACTAGATTTGTTGAATTGCTTTTCGTTCTCTTCTTAACGTAAATGTATAAAAAGAATAAGTTAAACGAGCTGTTTGTGTAAATTATCGATAAAAGCTAAGTATATTACAATCCAACCTGCAAGACGAGAGATAATAACAATTGGAATTATAACGAACCTCAATGATCGAATCAGAGTGGAATTTTTGTAATAAAAAAAATAAGCGTTTTCGGTTCATCAAATGAATATTCTTCGAGTTATTTCACAATTATTATTATTAAACTGGCACGTCAAAATCATAAAATATGATGATTCCAGATGTTCATTTAACCTTTACGGTCTAGGACTCCGAAAAGAAAAGTGCAGAAGATGTGCGAGCGCCAATTGTCCACGAAGGAAGAAATACCTGATGGGAATATCGTCTCACTTTTGCGACTCGAAGCGCAGCAAATGAAAAGGACATGGCCAATGGCCATGATTTGATTGGCTTTGTCCTGATCGCCATATTGCGACTATTCTCCAATGAGAGGCGTTATTTATTAATAGTGGGGAAACGTGGACATGAACTACGTAGCATGGTGGAAGGGATAACATGGTGTGCT